ATAAGAAAGAAAGAATAATTCAGAGAAGAGTTCTCTTTTCGGCGAATTCATTTTCAAAGCTGTACAATCGCAAATATACATATACTTATTTTTACAGGGTGATAATAATACTGATAATAAACTTCTGTTATACATGATCAGAGTGAGGTTAGATAAACAAAGGTATTAGAAATTTTTTTATAAAACAAGGTAATTTTAATAAAATGTGGAAACAGAGATGAAATATAATCGGAATGATCGTGGAAATAAAAACAAACCGGTTGGGGGTAAAAGATTTGAAGGGAAGATGGAAAGTGAAGCATGTGGCTGTAAAGGAACAAGAGTATGAAGAAAAAGAAAAACTTTTTAATGCATTAAGACCATGGTGGAAGAAGAGTTGTACCAGTTTCTTTTGTACATATAATTCTGGTTTTTCAAAATGTATGATCATTCCGATTACATTTCATCTCTGTTTCAACATTTTATTAAACTTACCTTCTTTTATAAAAAATTTTTTATAGTACCTTTGTCTATCTAACCTCACTCCCATAGTGTATAACAGAAGTTTATTATCAGTATTATTATCACCCTGTAAAAATAAGTATATGTATAGTTGCGATTGTACAGCTTTGAAAATGAATTCACCAAAAAGAGAATTCTTCTCTGAACTAATCTTTCTTTCTTATTTAATGTCATAATGGGTGTATTCCGTCTACTACAATAAATAATCTAATATTGTTTTTTTTGGCTTCATAACTGATAAAATATTGTATGATTAGTAAGATTATTTCATGTATAGAATAAGTATTTGTAATTTAATACCATTTTTTTCATCAGTCAAAGAAACGATAAACAAGAATTATGGTAGTAACATTGAAGCCTAATACATAACAAACTATTTTAATCTACAATAATTTAATTTTATTTCTCTCTCAACTTAATAACAAAATAAAAGCTAAATAGTTTTTAATTAGTTAATGTAAACACATGGACAGGTGGTTTACATAGTAAAGCATAATATGTATTCAATAATAAATTGTATTAAACGATAGATTGATTATTTATTCATCTCCTTTATTATTACATTTACTGTGATTACCATGTATTAAAGTATTTAAAGCTATGCGATATAAAACAAGTTTTAGTTTCATTATACAATGAAACATAAAGTTAAATTAAATGAAATAGAAACTATAGAAGGATAAATATCATATTAACGGAGTTTTTTCACGTGGTGATGACCTAATTTCGTGAGTAAAAACAATAGAAATAATGAATATAAAGTAGATTTTTTTCACTATTCTAATGATAATTACACAAAAAGCAGAACCTTTAAAGGGTAATATGATAAAATACTTTTTTACCTTAATAGATACTCAACAACGAAAAAAATCGCAAATAATATTGAAAATAGGCATACCAATACGTTTTGCTAGTGTAACACAATATAATTTACTATTGTATACTGGACTATTCTCTTCAATTGTTTTTGTTATCTTCTTTTTAATTAAAACATGGCTGGAGTTTATGGAGTAATGAAATCTACTATACTCCTTGAAAAAAAATTTCGTCTTTTTTTTATCTAAATGAATCAGTGACCTGTTAATAACAGATCTCTTTTCTTTTCCTTTTTTTTTAAATGGTTAAATTAGGCGTTTACACTTGATCAGTTAAATGGTTCAACTTACTGGTTCAAATAAGAGAATAGAATAATTTATGCGTATAAATATATTCTAATAATAATAATAAATATTCTATCCTTTCATATTCGATAAGAATATTATACATGAGCTTGTTTATATAACTAAAGATCGTGACAGGAAGTAAATAATCGACAGTGAAACGGTTTCATTAGAAGAAGAAAAAATTATTATTAAATAAAGTTAATACTGTTCGATTTTATTTAAACATACATAGATTGATATGAATATGAATAGAGAGTGAAATTTATAAGAGTATACTGGGAAAACATCTGAAAAACGTTGTTGTTTTTGTTGTTGTTGTTGTTGTTGTTGTTGTTGAATGATGAAATCAGCATCCAAATAGAAATAATCTAATTAAATGAAAATGTAACTCATAGTGATAGAAGACAAATCAGTCAAAGCGACATAAGCAAAGTATACCTAACAACTGAAACTAAACTTTCATTTTCCATTCAGCTATTTCACTTTAACTAAAATATAGTTACACTTCATATTTATGGAAATATAATAGTATTATCATGGTATGGAAATAATATTATATATATATAACAGGTTTTCTTTGTGTCATTCTGTTAAAATGGTTATGCTAGAACCAAATCAACTAAATTCATTTGTTACGCTATGTAGAAAATTCTTTCTGTGGTATAACGGTTGACTAATTTATTATACGGTCTGGTAAACAATTCTCAAGTTATACTTACAATTAAACATAGAAATACATGATTTATTCTATTGAAAAAAAACCCCCACTTCTTTACAATGAATTATAAAAAGTTAAAAATCCATTATATTTTTAGTACTAATTATATTTACGAATTGTTTAATAATCAATATTTTGATGAGTTCAAGGATTGTAATCATAATCAGGTACCTCACGTTGTATACGTACGATTAAGTGATCAAATTTATATTAGTCATGATCTAATTTATTATTTGTTATCTGTTGATTTCTTTTAAACTATACCGTTAGAGTAATGAACCAAACTATTTGAAAAGAAAAGATCTATTGCTATGGTGATAACAAAAAATCGTTGAAATGTGAAAACATTTTAAATCAAAAATTAATTGTTAATATCTAAAGGACCATCTTTTTAGAGCTAAGATCGATTATATGCATAAATGATTAAACTTCTTATTGACATTTCCTGTCATTTACTGAAATATAGATTTAATTCCCTAAAAGAATCATTCTAAATTAAATTAAATTGATAATTCAATACTCTACAAGTGATAATTAATTTACTCATATATAAATATAAGGATAAACTTCACATTTAATATAATAGTGTTATATCCCGATGAAAATTATGAATGGTAACTTTTGAGAACTATGTGTGGACCAGTACGATATTTATATTTTTTTATTGTATAGTTGTTATGTCATTAAACTATACATATTCATCTCCCTTTGATTATATGCTTTATTTTGACTCATAGACTATCATTAAACGATTCATGAGTTATGCCCAGTCGATTAATGATAGTCTTCCACATTCAAAGCCACTTTCGGTTAGATCTTGTGCACATGTTATTATTTGTCTTATGGTGTGATATGGTATATATGGTTTGTATAAAATCCTAGTACGATTGAAATACATGAATCATATAGTGGAGGTTGAGTTTTGTGTTCTGGACGCAACAGGCAGGCTTGGCGGGAAGAATGACCGATAAAAACTGTAGACTGCTCATACGGGTTTAATGCGTCATTGGTCCAGTCGATAATTCATTCTTCTCTAATTGACGGTATCATTACGTCATATATTGGTAGGGGCACAAAGCCACAAGTTATAAAAAATAGATTTTTCTTGTAATCCAGACAGACAAAGGAAAATAATGTTGATAAATATATTTTACATATGTATATGATTTTATCTATAATCAGGAAGAAACCTTCTTACATATTAAACTGTAAAAATCCTCCTTGATCACCTATGTCAGAATCTATTATCATATAAAAGAATAAATCATTCGAAAAAGAGAAAATATCAATGTCAAAATGATTTCAGTATTTGATAAATAATTCATCAGTTATTCTTTTAGTCAAGCATATTAGAAAACACATTCAAACACACACAAAAAGAAAAACTAATTTATGCTTGTTATAAACTTATGTTACGTGTCATCAAAAGTCTTAAGTATAATGATTATTATTATTATCATCGAATTAATGGCCTGTTTTTGTATTCTTATTATCAGTTAATGATGTGTCAACAAACTATTATTCTCATGGTTACTCTACTTACAGTTCTTAAATATGATTATTATATATATTATTATATATATGAAGCGTATTATGTTCGTAAAATAAATGAATATAACAAGTGAATGGAACAATATTTCAACTACATACCTACTGATGCTTGAATAAAACTTAACTAGTCACAATAATGTTCGTTGAAAACATTATTTCTAATTGAAATGATATAATGAGTTTGTAAAGTAATGACCACAAACAGTAACATCTTTGTATGAATATATATCGACAAAGTATGTGGTAGCAGAAAGTTAACAAATCTAATTAGAAACAACTGTTTATAACAAATAACTATATCAATTAATTCACTTTGAATTCAATCATAAAAAACACATTTCTAATGTATTTTTTTTACTAACTTAAGGTAGTTTTCAGTTGTCTACTATTTTATTATAAGCAGAGATGGATGATTACTAGAAGTGGTATCCAGGACGCATGTTTCGTTCTATTTAGGATTCATCAACTGAATGTATCTGCACAACATCTTATTATAGTTGGTTAACTTATGAAATATTATACTACATTCTAAAATATGAAACTTTTGCCAATCAAATTCATTAATAAACAATTATATCAGAAAATGTTAAATAGTTCTTCATTCGTAATAAAGCTGGTACAAATCATGCCCTAAATAAACAATCGAAAACAAATTTATTTCGTTAATTATAAGCCAATAAAATAATTCATTAATTATTATTATTATTGTTTAACTGAATAATAAACAGTTGATTATGCCGTTCAATTATCTGTCTTTAATTGGCTTAAAAATGTTTGTACCCTCCTTTTTTCTGTATATTGTAAATAGATACTTCAATTTGAAATATGACTTAATAGTGTAGTTAACATTTTTACATATACAGAACACATGTTTATCTCAATAAACAATTATACTGTAATGAATCTAAATTACCTGTCATTCATGATAAACGAAAACGTTTATAATGCTTAAAAAGCTTATTAAAAGTAACAATATTGTTAGCATTACATATCTAGTTATTGATGGTAATGTCAGTATCATATTTAATATATTTGTATTGATTTATTTTTGTTTAATTTTGGTTTAGGGGAATGCAATAAAAACATTTCGACTTGATAGAAATAATGGAACTTTATGGTTACGTACCCCATTGGATCGGGAAAAATTAGATAGTTATACTTTTAAGGTAAGTAATCTAATTAACATATAAATAACTATTCACCTTATATACCTTTAAATCAAATATTATACACATTAATGGGTGCGGGGTCGTGGATGCGCACTGCTGAGGAGTCCCATACTAGGACGAAACGGCCGTCCAGTGCTTCCAGGTTTTCAATGGTGGTCTAGCTTCAACTGACTCATGATTTCAACTTGTGAAATTTATACACATTAGTTGTAATAGGATTGAGTTGATCACTTAAATCTTGATGAGTTGTATCTTCTTTCTGAATGAAAATTCATCGATTTATGTTAAATTTCACAATGATCTTTTGACAAGGATCTTGTAAAATTAATAATAATTATCGAGAATTAAAGTTCACGTGTATTTTTTTATGAAAGAACACTAGAAAAATATAAAAATATTCTTAATTATTTTACAGTTAATTGATTAGGCTCAACTAAAGAAAATACATTTGAATTTCAAATTACTCGTTTCGCATTCACAGACAACGAGGTGATGATGTAACATCTAGAATTCGAGGAAACTTATGATTTACAAATTTAAAGTGAATAAAAGAAGTCTTAGTAAGATTTAAAATTATATACCGATGTTATTTTAAAACATTTGGATATCAGTGTGTGATTTAAATGTCACTCATCGAGTACTTCATGGTATAATACAGAGTGAAGAAATCCTGGTATCTAGTATTTAACTAGGATTACAGTCTACCAAGAACATATATGACAAAATAAATCAACTTAAGCTTGTTGAACAAGTATCGAGCCCTGTCTATGATTTTGAGGATAAACTAACTATATTACTGTTTAGTATTTGTTGCCTTAGTATATTCTGACCCTGGATTACATAGTATACATGACAGTTTAGAGGGAATAAAAATTACTAAAAGACATTTTTTTTTCAATGAAAGTATAGCATGATTGAACTTTATTCATTTCTTTTAATTCTGTCACTTTGTAACCAGATAAAATGATTTTGTTTATCTTTTATATCACTGTCATAAGTCTAAAAATATGTCCATCTAATAACATATACAATTTATAGACCATCATAATGTCAGAAAAAGTGTAACTGAATTAGACTTAAAGATGAACTTTTATTCAGTTTTAAAAAAAAGGCAAACATCAGTGTAACTTAGTCTTTAACAAACATTTAAAAATAAATCTCTCTGTTCTAGACGAGTGCTCTAGGAAGTGAGAATCATTTTTCCAAGTTTACTATTAAACACTAAACCATACGTTCGGTCGGTAGGTTAGGAGATTGAAACTAACTCTATTCTACTTGTTAAGTCAAAGTTTTCTAAAGTCGAATTCAGTCGGCATTTTGATTACGATATTCAGAATTGAAACAATTTTTAATCACAGTAGTTGTTGTTTATGGCCCGTTTTTGTTAAATATTACAGGGGAAGTATGATTTTGGCTACATCTACCGATAATGTAAACTTAACAATTATCAGATCTGAATCCGATAAAAATTAAATTTCCATTGTTTGATTTCTCTGAATCCTATCTTTAAATGTTCTAGAGAACAAAATTAAGAAATATTTGCTACTGTTAATAAGATATTCATATGATTACTAACTCCGAATTAACAAACCATTTTAATTTTTTACCCATGGACTCGTTGATAATAATCGAACATTATAAGAAAGTTGGATATTTCGAGTTAGAATCGGTCAAATATGTAAACTGTGTTATGGTGCGGTAACTTGACACACTCTTAAACATTATGTGAAGTAATTTGTCATGAATTAAAGTCAATAGTCTCCACAAAGAAATCAGTTATTCAGCTAAAACAAATCGAAACCAACTATTTTTATTATACTATACAAAACGTTCGAGTAAATCAAGTGCAGTTAATATTTAATGTTACCTTAAACAGTTAACCAATATGAAACATTCAGTAATAACGTTAAGAATTTTGAACACATAACTGCTTTGGTTTGTTGTTAATCATTTCAAAACATCGATAGCAACATTCCAATAATCATAAATATAATAACTGTTACCATATTATTGGCATTCAAAGTCAACTGTCTGGTCCTTAGACATTCTTTCAAAAACCGAATAGGTGGTTGCTTTGAAAATGGAAAGGAAACATAACAACACTAAACGATACGATAATTTTCGTGTAACTCTCTATACACGTTAACAAACAAAAATATAGATTATATATTTAAAAAACATTGAAATCAAGGTCAAAACAAATTTTTCCAATTCATTTCACGATATCAAAGTTTATTTTACGCATTTTCAAATTAACACTTTGCTGTAAGTTCTAAACCACCATTTCGTCCTGATACAAGACTCCTCGACAGTGAGCGTGCAAAACCAAGAACGTGAAGATCAAACCCGGAACCTTCGGTTTTGTACGCAAACGCTTAACCACCAAACAGCTGGAACGACATCCAGCGACGCTACTGCCTAACTTCAATCAGTCCATGATATTGCGCGAACATCTCCTATTGTCTCCAGTGGGTACCTGTCTCACACTCGACACGGTTGCCCATTATCGTTAAGTTAAACATCAACACCATTTAATGTCAGTTCCGTGATCTAGAGTTTGGGCGTTTGTGAGCAAGTCTAATTATGGTGGGTTTGATTATTGCATGTTGGATCGTGGAAGCGCACTTCTGAGGTGTCTCATACCATCAAAATGAGGCTATTTAGTGCTTCTAGATTCCCAATAGCAGTTCAATATTAATCACTGCGTGATTTCAATGAAACTCAACAATCTTCACAACTATATACTGATAATATTTCTCTGTTTCTATAGGTGTTGGCATATGATCATGGAACACCAAAACAAAGTTCTTCATGTCAAGTACACATCAAAGTTCATGACGTCAATGATAATGCACCGAAATTTGTCTATCCTACTCATAGTAATCATACAGTTTATGCTTCGGTATTTACTAACCCAGTAAGTTTATTTAATCGAATTATTACTTGTAGATGCCTCATATTTTACCATAGTAAAATATCTAAATAGTTGTTGACACATTTTAAGTTTTCAAAGTCTGTCTGACAATACAGCTGTATTTTGGATATGGTTTTTTTTAGTTCTGTTCATTGAGTATTTATATGTTGGGGCCTACTGTTACAGTGGCAGCTACTAAATCAAACTGAACTTTATCGTCGCCGTTGCGACCATTGTTAAATGCAAAGCACTGGATAACATTCATTGTGAATCCCTCCTTCTTTAATTTGAAAGGTGCTTTGATGATCCTTGAGATCCATAAAATTCCCATCCTATGAGTGCATTTCATGCTTCTTTTGACAGCATTAGTGTAACAACATGTGTGTGTGAAGCATGTCCTTCTTTCTGATTGGGGTACAACAGCATCTCTCCCGAAGCTTATCTTTTCTTTCTAGCTTGATCCAATCGCTTTCAATTATTTCATGCATCACCAAGTTGTATCTTCTCATTTACATTGCCATTTGACTGGTCCTCCCAGTCTCACACACCGTCCACACGTTCCATGCTTCTATATTAATTGTTGCTCTGGTTATAAAAAAAGAGCAACAGCCTCGTGCTCTCTGAAGAATCTCGACTTTCACTGTGAAGCGTGATGATTCTTCCAAATAAAGATCCCTCAACTTACAACATTGACTTCAAATGGTTTTTGTTTATTATGGTTAGTGTTTTTTCAGCAAATTTTTTTTTCTATAAGATGAATTTACTGATCTAATACCCAATGTTCTGCTGTCATCGGGGCTTTAGATCGGTTGTAACCCTAGACAGTTTACATGCAGAATTTGAATGATTATTCAGTCAAATAAAACATTTACAATCAGGTAAAACAAAATGAAATATGAAAATCTCTTAGAATAAATGTTTATTCAATATTATTGAGGTGTATATGTCATGAATTCTCAGAGAGAATAACTTCCAATGTTTCATATTTCCATTTATTTATCCTGTTGTATTTAGTTCATTTTTCTTTATTGAACAATTAACATTCATTGTTCATATACCCTTAAATTAAATACTTTCATCTTTTAAAAAAAAAACACTATCTTTATATACACACCAATGATCTATATGTATATAATTATAGATAATTAATGTCTCTTTTATGTTCTATTTATAATTATGTAGAATGAAAATTACTATTTCTTTCTATTAGAATTCTTCAACAATCTTTTCATTACGTTACTTTCATTTTAATCATTCAATAATAAATTCATTTTTGAATTAGTGTTTATAACAATTAAATTGAAAAAAAGAAAAATACTGAATGCATCATTTAATATGATAGAAAAGAATAAAAGAAGAATTATGTTAAGAACAAGATTTGAAAAAAAAAAACAGATCTATCACATACCCATCAGTATTGTCTCTATGACAATAATAATAATAATAATAATAATAATAATAACCATTACTAATACTGTATATTTAATCATCAAACTGCCTAAGGCTTTATTTTCAATTTTATTTAATACCTTTTCAAAGAAGGAATAAAATTAGAATTAAAATAGATGAAATTCAAATTAAATATCGAATTTAAAGAAATTTCTTTATTATTGTAATTATAATGATAATAATAATAATAATGATGATGATACATCAAAGACCGAACAACTAAACACACATGAATATACATGAAATACATGAAACGACTTCTTTATTTGAGAAAAAACTCTCCCTTTAAAAGGAATATAATTTCAACTAAATAAGAAATTATAAAAAATTATGTTTAAAAAAATAAAACATAACAAAAAGCAAAGCAAAGTTATAACCATTGATCCTATCAAAATCACAACAATACTTTTTCACTTATTTATTTATTATGATAATATCATCAACAGTTTTATTGTTGTTTATGCTCAAAGGGGTTAACAGATCTTGCTTTTTTTTAGAGAAAAAAAGTGGAGAAAAAGAAAGAAAAAAATGATAGAAAGAAAATAGATCTTTGAGCTAAAAAAAAGGAATCATTTGACTTTGATCAGTGATTTTCTGATTTTTCAATTTTTTTTTCTTTTTTTTATAATTGCCTAAAGGGATTATAGACATGATAAAAATTGTTCAATTTTTTTTGTTTTATTTTATTGATTTGCAATCAATTTACACTTTTTTTTACTAAAACAAAAAAAATGATAATTTTTTACAGATAGTTTAAGGACTGAAAACTGTGACTTAAATGTTAATTGGTTTGATATTGACTTTCATAGGTTACTTACTTACTTACGCCTGTTACTCCTAATGGAGCATGATCCGCCAACCAGCATTCTCCAACACACTCTGTCCTGTGCCTTCTTTTCTAATTCCATCCAATTCTTGTTCATTTTTCTCATGTCTATCTCCATTTCCCGGCGTAATGTGTTCTTCAGTCTTCCTCTTCTCCTTTGGCCTTCAGAATTTCATGTGAGGGCTTGTCTTGTGACGCAGTTGCATGCTTTCCTCAATGTGTGCCCTATCCACTTCCAGCGCTTCTTCATAAATTCTTCCTCCACTAGAATCTGGTTTGTTCTTTCCCACAGTAGGTTGTTGCTAATAGTGTTTGACCAACGGATCCGAAGTATTTTGCGTAGATAGCTGTTAATAATCACTTGTATCTTCTGGATGATGGCTTTCGTAGTTCTCCAGGTTTCCGCCCCATACAGCAGAGCTGTTTTGACATTTGTATTGAAAATCCTGACCTTGGTGTTGGTTGACAGTTGCTTTGAATTCCAGATGTTCTTCAGTTGTAAATATGGTTCTCTTGCTTTACCGATCCGCGCCTTCACATTTGCATCAGACCCACCATGTTCATGGAATACTTAGACTAATATTCACTTAAGTAATATAAAGTTGGATTGATAGTATATTACTTGCTTAAAAATACATTAAAGAACGTGTATTGAAGGAATAAATATTTATGTTCAGTCTTTCTTATATGAAGCTATTGGAATGATTAATTTAAAAATGTTTCATATTCTTTGAGTTAGACATTGATCAATTCAAAACTATATCTCATATGATTTGAAATATATGCTTAGTGTAGTTCCGATAAGCAGTCATGAAAAACAGTGAAATAATAATTATAAATTGTGAGCGATATTTTTGGCATGGATAATTTTTTTGTACATTACAAGATAATTTAGTTTCTAAGTAGGTTTTTGTTGATCAGTTTGTTACTTGATATAATAAAAACGGAAATTGTCTCAAAATAATTGCGTAACACATTCAAGCATGCAGAGTGTAAATAAAACTGTTTTCACAGATTTGATTTACGATTTTTTATGAAAATTTCCAATTTATAAACATTTTCTTACAGAAAATTTTTTTTATACTTTTGTATAAAACATCTCAGGGAATTCCTCTAGTTAAATTAACAGCAACGGATTCAGATGAAGGTGTAAATTCACAGTTATCCTTTCATCTTCTTGATGAATCAAAGGAAAAAAATATTTTTACAGTGGATCCAGATACTGGAGAACTAAGTCTGTTACCAACAGTGGATCCATTCAATATTGGAGGTCGCTATCAACTGAAGTTTGAGGTACACATTTATAAATTATCAATTATTATATATCCATCGATAAAATATCATCTTATATTAGGAAAAAATCATTATTTTTGACAATACGAAATTTTGTGGTAGAAATAAAAGGGAAACAAGTTTACATAATTTTCTGAGTTATTTATATTTGAGCAAGTGAATTTTCTTCCCTTCTTAAATAGCATAGAACACATACAAGATTATAGAGAATTAATTACTGACAAACACTTTTTAAAGACTATATGCAATTCGAAGATAAATATTCATCAGAGAATAACATCAGCAGAAAGACCTAAAAAAATAAACAGGCCTAGACAAGTGTTCAGTTTTCGTCTTAAGCTCTTCAATAATCCAAATAAAACAATCAACATTATAAAACAAATCTAAACATTTTAGTTCAAGCAGTTTGTATGAATACTCATTCTTTCAATTAAGATTCATTGGTTAACAGTTCTAATGTTGCTAGAAGCATCATTTATAATGAAATTTATTTGATAACATTAGAAATAACTACCTTACTCTTAACGTGGCTAAACTTTATAGACACTTTAAATAAGATTGTTCACCTATAGGTACCCATATCGAGGTCGAATTTGATAGTTTCAAATAAATTGAACATTGGATAGAGAATTAATGATAGATATATTTTTGTTCACTTATGTTTCCTTTTGTTTCCGATTTGGATAATGCCCACCATTATTTCATGGATGAAACTGTATGTTTGATTGTCTGTTGATTTCATGGAGTTACACTTAGCTTTCAAGAATCAGATCCATTAACTGCTTTACAATCCCACTGAGATTTTGAACTTTTCTATGCAAACCATATATATTCGACTACAAAACATAGTTTTTGAAGAATCTAGCTAGACATTTAGCTATATGTTAACATACACAATACCTGTTGAGTTGCACCATCTATGACTGACATCATCACTGAATGTTTCTGTTTCTCAGAATTTATATGTCTATTTCAAGGTATTGATACTAAACTAGGATTCAAAATTGAACCTAATTAGAGTTTGTTCTGAATAAACCATCAAGCTAGGGATACATAATAACAACAAAACTTCACGCACTTGTACAATTATTCAATTAGAAGAAGCTTTATTATCAGCAAACCAAACTTTCTTGAAATGATAAATATGCATGTTTATTTATTTATATTTACAATTTACCATGACAATCATCCTATATGTAATATGATATACTAAATGATTAGAATTAACTTGTAACAAACAAAAATTCTATCGGTTATACCTTGACTTTTTAACCTAAAAGAAATCGTATCTCTTCAGTTTTGAGATTTAACTCAAACTCTAAAGACTTTTTTATAAGACACTAGTTAACAGTTAAGTTAAAAATTTCAGGACGAACTTTTACGTGCATCACCCAAGAGATCTAAACTGAACTTAAACAGTTTAACAGTTCTTCATGGTTACTAGTCATTTTTAACCTTGTATCAGTCCATCATTTAACTTTCTTTCAACCTATAGTATTGTCAAATTAACCATATTGAGTATTAATACATATTAGGTGTAGATACTCATCGGTAATTACATTTTTTGAGATAATTTATTTTATCAAAATAATTCGGATTTTTTTGTCTTGCTAACTAGTAATGCTGTACATTCAATTTTTTCCTAAAAAAGGTACGTGATAGTGGTACACCGAGTCTCTCAGGATATGCAAACATAAATATCATATTAGACAGTAACTCACCTCAGTTATCAGCATTCAACAATGGCAAATACCAACTTACAAATATGGAATCATTAAATTCAAGAAATAGTTACCGCTCATCAATTTTGAAAAATGATAATGAAGTAATTCATTCAGCAAACAAAGAATTCGATGGAATCCAGTCACGATATGACATCAGGGACTCACATATTTATGAACCAACTTATGCTCAGACTATCCTGCCTATTTCATCTTATTCAAATGAGAAATATCGTCGAAAAGAGAGAGTTTCTACACTGACAAATCAAAAACCCTCGACGCCATTCAGTTTAGAAAAAATTTGGATTTCTGTTATATGCCTCATTGCTATTTCAACACTAGTTGCATTTGCTTTCCTTGTCGCCATTACATTGGCTCGTCAAAAGGTAGCGAACTATGAGCTGCAACGGGGTTCAAATCATTTAACTGAAAATTTCAATTTGTGTCAAACAGAACAATGTGGTAGTCAATTTTCTGTAAATTCACATCGCTTCACTAACGTCGATAATACTTATTCACCTACGAAATTTCAAACATTGGAAAAACAAGATCATAAAATTCACAATAACAGCTGCAGTAATCATGACCCCAATCTTTATTCACCATTTGTCAAGTATGATACGTATACTAATTCAACCACAGGATCTGTGCATCAACTAGGATTTTGTACAAAAGAAATGACCTCAATAAATACAGATATACAGGTAGTAAATCATGACCACTTTAGGCTTAATGATTCTTAAATTCAGTTTTATATCTTATTTGCTTTATTTGAAGGTTAGCTTTTGTATTCAGTTATTATATCGACGAGTAAAGACCGGTTAATTAGCTGGTTTAAAACAATCAGACAACGTTCAAAAAACTTTTTATAAACCTAAAGATTTCTTTAGGTTTATAGTGAATTTGAAAAAAAAGAATGTAGCTATATACCATACTCAATGTGGTTAGTGAATTTTGCAATATAATGATGTAGTTTTCATTGGAAAACTAGATTATACTCTGAATTTTGCCATGGCCTTAATTTTTATTCATTATGTCAAACTGCATTACAGCAGACACGTGTATTACATGCTGGAATAATAGCCTAAGTCGTGGTTGTTTTGAAATGGACAGTAAGTGAAGAATCTTAATGAACAAAGACTTGAGGCTACGTTAAGTTCTTGTTGTTGTGCTGTACATAGCATACTGATAGCAGACTTCTGGTTTTTCATTGCTTAACTTGCATTTACGAACTACGTAATGCATCCAATTCATTTAATAATGTTATATGGTATATATTTTATATCAAGCCTTCTGCGACAAATCGATAGCATCTCTGAATTGGTCCGATATTGTCAGGTGCCTGGTTTCATAATCCTTTCATTGGTGTCCACTGCAACTGGATCTTCAGTATTAGTTTGACCCGTTGAAAGTAGAGGGTTATCAATAATAAACAAGAGCATAACAAGCCGAAGATCGTTATCTTTTATAGATCTTGACAATTTAATAAATAACACTCAGGAACGAATATACTGACGGTTCAAATGTCTCAAGTGGCAGCAACATTGATTTTAGCTAGGAGGCACTTACTCTGGTGTCTGATATCTACAAAAAAGTACTCAAAGCAAAACTAATTAACGTTTTATCACATAAAGCACGTAAGCACACCAGAAGGAATACACTGACCTGAGTAGTAGTAGTAGTAGTAGTAGTAGTAGTAGTAGTAGTAGTAGTAGTAGTAATAGTAGTAGTAGTAGTAGTAGTAGTAGTAGTAGTAGTAGTAGTAGTAGTAGTAGTAGTAGTAGTAGTAGTAGTAGTAGTAGTAGTAGTAGTAGTAGTAGTAGTAGTAGTAGTAGTAGTAGTAGTAGTAGTAGTAGTAGTAGTAGTAGTAGTAGTAGTAGTAGTAGTAGTAGTAGTAGTAGTAGTAGTAGTAGTAGTAGTAGTAGTAGTAGTAGTAGTAGTAGTAGTAGTAGTAGTAGTAGTAGTAGTAGTAGTAGTAGTAGTAGTAGTAGTGGTAGTAGTAGTAGTAGTAGTAGTAGTAGTAGTAGTAGTAGTAGTAGTAGTAGTAGTAGTAGTAGTAGTAGTAGTAGTAGTAGTAGTAGTAGTAGTAGTAGTAGTAGTAGTAGTAGTAGTAGTAGTAGTAGTAGTAGTAGTAGTAGTAGTAGGTAGTAGTAGTAGTAGTAGTAGTAGTAGTAGTAGTAGTAGTAGTAGTAGTAGTAGTAGTAGTAGTAGTAGTAGTAGTAGTAGTAGTAGTAGTAGTAGTAGTAGTAGTAGTAGTAGTAGTAGTAGTAGTAGTAGTAGTAGTAGTAGTAGTAGTAGTAGTAGTAGTAGTAGTAGTAGTAGTAGTAGTAGTAGTAGTAGTAGTAGTAGTAGTAGTAGTAGTAGTAGTAGTAGTAGTAGTAGTAGTAGTAGTAGTAGTAGTAGTAGTAGTAGTAGTAGTAGTAGTAGTAGTAGTAGTAGTAGTAGTAGTAGTAGTAGTAGTAGTAGTAGTAGTAGTAGTAGTAGTAGTAGTAGTAGTAGTAGTAGTAGTAGTAGTAGTAGTAGTAGTAGTAGTAGTAGTAGTAGTAGTAGTAGTAGTAGTAGTAGTAGTAGTAGTAGTAGTAGTAGTAGTAGTAGTAGTAGTAGTAGTAGTAGTAGTAGTAGTAGTAGTAGTAGTAGTAGTAGTAGTAGTAGTAGTAGTAGTAGTAGTAGTAGTAGTAGTAGTAGTAGTAGTAGTAGCAACAATCGAGAGAACAAAATCGATTCAAAAAATTAGCATCAGCACATAAATTGAAGAATTTTCACACACTAAATGATTAAATATTGCAGCAACATCAAAACGTTAACGAAAAAACACAGAATGAGGTAAGTCAACAGCCATCGCTGTCAAAGATGATGGAAACGATAGTTTCTGCTTCATTCTGGTGGACTGCCGAAATCACAAACCAGAGTTTAGTTCATTTCCAGTCTTTGTTCCTATTTCGTGAAAGAATGGTTAGCTGCTAACTTTCCTACCTTAAGAAAATTGTTAATATGCCATAATTTGTAGCCGACGGATAGTTTACAATCAAGGCTGTTCCAATTTTGAACTAAATTTCACATTTCTAAGTACTAAGAGTCGATTACATTAATGCTATTGGTTTGCATAATTATTATTTACATAATACTACATGAATGTATCATGAAGGTCTTCCTTTATTGTTCCGTACATTTTCAAGAAACGTTTGTTTCTTTTTTATATATTGTTTATCCAAATGTAATATTTTATGGTCTTTTTTTAAAGCATTCAAAACCTATATACAATTACAATATTCCAATAACTGCTAGTTCACTACAATTTCCAAGAAAATTTCAAGCAATACACAATAATAATAATAATAAAACTGAAAATCTTTCTTCAGACAAATGGATATCATTAATGCATGTTCAACATTCAGCACCGGCTAGTCCAAATGATTACTTCAGTCAAAGATATAAAACAATTGATCCACATCAAATGAATAAAAATATGTTAAATCAAAAGTACGAAATTCTTCAACCACATGAATGTACAATTGATGAGTATAATAATAAAATATCTATTAGTCCAAATTTTGCAAATGGTAAGACTAATTTGAGTAGAATGTTATGCTTGATGTAGATGTGCATATAAATAAAATGTATAAGTAAACTCATTTTAATAATTTAATAATATGTACTTTTTAAAATGGTACTGCATTTCAAATAGTATTTCAAAGAGTTATTTCTTTACAATCATTTACGTTTCCTACCTATAAAACTTTCAGTAGTTTACATTCAAATACTTGTAACTGAATAAAGAAACTTATATCTAACTAAAACCTCAACTTTTAATGTATTGTAAAATAAGTTTATTTATATCTAACAGACAAGTGTCATATCAACAAAGACTACAAGTTACAAGTCATTTAGTTGAAGGCCAGGAATGTTTTCCACAAAGCAACTTATAGCCTAAACATCACAAAACGATTTATATTTTGAGTAAATTTTAGTGGTTACCTAAAATACAAAGACGGTTACAATATTAATTCACCGACTATCGACTAAGTGGGATTCAGCTAGGAAATTTACCGAACACAATAAATTTAAGAAAATTCAAACTGGTTAACAATGGTTGTTTAAATAAACACAGCAAAACGCCAAATCGTTTAATTGATTGTGAGCTGTCCATTGTATTCCGTGTTTTCCCTCAGATGTCGAGGAAGGGAAAGAGTAGACAGCCTTGTCTGACTCCGGTCCTTACTTGAAATGCATCTGTCAGCTGTCCTCCATGCACGACCTTGCACTGTAGTCCGTCATATGAGTTCCGGATAATATTGACAATCTTCTCAGGAACTCCGTAGTGTCGAACAAGTTTCAATAGCGTCCTCCTATCTGCACTGTCAAATGCCTTTTCATAATCAATGAAGTTGATGTACAGTGACGAGTTCCACTCAACTGATTGTTCGACGATGATCCGTTGTTAGAGACCCTGAATGACATGGCTCAAAATCGTTTGGATCCTCTTTCCAAATTTATTTCACTGGATTATACTCGTTAAATAACATCTCCAAACCCTAATCTTCCCGATTACTGCTTATACTCTTGCTACCTCTACCACTACGGGATTTGAATCGACCACTGCATCTCTGTGCTAATGTGGTATGGCAACTCGAACTGATGTACGTACGTACTAAGTTCTACGTTGTTACTGACTGTTGCAATTTGGTCTGTGCATGATCGATCCTTACGGAATCCAGCTTGTTAATCTCGAAGTTGGGCGTCTGCTGCATCTTTCATCCGGTTCAGCAAAACTCTGTTAAAGACTTTTCCTGGTACTGACAATAGTGTGAAGCCTCTTTAGTTTTTACATTTACTCAGACCTCCTTTCTTTGCAATCTTGATGAGGTGTCCTTCTTTCTAGTCCATCAACACTTGTTCCTCTTCCCAGATCTTTTAGAATAGAAGGTAGAGCATGCTTGTAGTTACTTCGATGTCTGACTTCAGTGCTTCAGCTGGTATATTGTCAGGTTCTGCTGCTTTCCCGCTCTTGATTTCATAGTACCAAACCAACTTTAAATTGAGGAACGTCAGAAATTTAGATATCTGCTCATTAAGATTATTATTATACTTGTATTTATTATTGTTTCCATTTCTCCTGTGACTGGCCATCATTTATTTTAAATGATCTAAACAGTCATGAAATTCAACTGCAATTATTTGACCTTTCTAAATTTTAGCAACTCCTAAATCATAAGTATGCTACTGTTTTGCTAATATAGACAATCGACCAAGTGCTTAACAAACAATACATGGTTTTGAATGAATGCTATTGACTTTTGTTAAGATAGGGATACAAATTGTTATTGAAGAGAGAGTACAACAATAAAATTAAAGTGCATTCAGTCAACAGGAATGATTTATGGCACCACAAGTATCTCACTATTTCATTATCTAACTCATCTTAAATTGCTTCTATCAAAAGAGATAACCGATACGGCCTTAGTGGTACAATAAATGAATAGATTCAAGTCAAATCAATCTTATATTTACACCTTGTAGATACACATGTAAACAATAAGACATATTCAGGCATAACGTTATAGCTAAAATACAAAATCCTTTTTATTTTTCTACATACTGATAATGTTATCATACATAGAATAAAAAGTTTTTACTTTATTCTCTATAATTTTCATCCTGAATACATTTTAAGCATTCCATTTTAGGTCTAATGAAACCTAATAATATGGAATTATCAAATTCAATTATGACAAAAAATTTCTGTCTAGATAATAAATCATTGTTATATCTCACACCTAAAGGTATACTAAAAGGATGTATTACAGAATTAAATGAAAATTCACACAGAACTAATGACAATAATAGAAATAATGAAGAATCTAATAATGTTGAAGTTGATATTGAGAAGAATATCAATGGTATCAATAATCATTCATTATATTGTTGTAATTTAGATAAACAACAACAAACTATTCAAATGAATGATACTACTCATAATAGTGATATTAATGAACAGTTAACAATAAAAGTAAATAAATCTATCCCAGATTCAATTCATAATAGATCAAATCAATTATCGGAAATATTTTCAAATCAAAATGATGAACATAATCAACAATTACCATTGATAAATAAATCTCATATAGAACAAAATTTATTAAATTTAAATACTAAATATTCATCATCTAATCCAATTGTAACTTCTATATCTTCACATGTTTCCACGTTTATCTAAGATTTAATATTATTCTCTGTGTATGTTTATTTTACCTGTGAATATATATTCGATATTAAACTTAACGCTTGCCATATGAGAACTATATACTGAAATAAAGAGCTGATATATGATATTATTATACATTTTATTGTATGATTAGATTTTCTTTTAAATGTATGTATCAAATATAATAACCAATTGTATCATTGATTTCTGTTAAACATTGATTTTTTTTGTGTGTTTCTAAGGGATTGTACCTATAGTTTATTTATATTTTATAATGTAAAGTACAATGTTGAATAGTAAAATTAATTAATTAATAAAGATTAATGATAAGTTTCCAATAGAAATTCTTGTTTATAATAATACTTCTTTGATTATTAATGTTTTTACGTTTTATAAATTAGAACTTTTCCATAAGACAACACCAGTTCAAGTTATCGTTTCAACAAAAAAGCAACTTTATATATATAAATATTAATTCAGAAGGGGGGGGGTGAAGATCTTAGTGATTTTATAGTTCATTTCATAAGTCACCTGAAGATAGAACACTGTGCAAGACCTGGAAGCACTGGACGGCCGTTTCATCCAACACTGCGCACCCCACAATCCTGCCCTGCAAGATTCGAACCCATAAACTGTCGGTCTCGCACGAGAACGCTGCTCGGTGTTCATGTTTAACTTCAACTGTAAAATTGTTAAAATCTCCACAAAACCGTTTTTCTGATGTTAAGCAGCATATGCTCACTAGTGACTGGTTTCAAGAGGTATTTCCTCGAGTTCTAATGAGAAGCGGTGACCAGTGGAGTTCAACTCATTGAAGACATTGGTGGATCTGTCGCTCAATTTCGTGGGTTATTTGAATTTAAACATCAACACCATTGATTGCCGGCTCAGTGGGCTAAATTTATTAATTCATAGAGATGAATCTTTGTTCATATCTTTTTATTAGTAGAAAGTTTAAAGCAATTAGTCACTTTGATAAATTTCGATAGTGTAATAAGAAGACGAAGATTATCAGAACTGTGTGATATATTAACGCAATACATTTAGAACAATTTAATCACACATATACGTGTTAAGAGCACTTATATATAAAAATAAAAGGTCAACCTGACTAGAAATGGAGGGTAAAAGGAGACAAAGATAATAAAGAAATAATATGAAAACAATTTAAGACCTCATCACTCTGGATAATAAGCTAATATTACCAGGGTAGGTTAGTGACTAGTAGTAGAACCTAGAACACGCGTTTCGTCTTATTTGCGACGCGTCAGATGGATGTAACAGTATCTCGGAGTTGGTGTTCACTCTGCGACTCGAACCCAGTACCGTTCGCTTCAAACGCCATCACGTTATCCACTTAGCTACTGAATTAACTCCGCCTGGAGTTTCTCGGAGAGTACTGCCGGTCCCAAGCCCGAATAAAAAAAGAAAGGTTGGGCATGGGGTCGGCGACCCCATCCCGTAGAAAACTAACTCGCTAAAAATCGCTAACCAGAAAAATTATTCAAACCACTTAAACTCTGCCCTGTGAGTCATAAGGTTTTCATTCAGAAGAGTTATGACGCCGCATGATGTAAGCCGAGTTCTTTCGGAAGCCACTAGGCTGATTCCCCTTCTGACGACCAGAGCAACCATTTATTTAGGTACATGGAATGCTTGTACAATGTAGGAGATCGGGAGAGTTTTGCGAATTGCTGCAGAAATGAGGAGATACAACCTAGAGGTGCTTGGGATCAGTGAAACACATTGGACGCAAGTTGGACAACAACGACTAGCTTCAGGGAAGCTTCTGTTATACTTCGGCCATGATGAAGAAAATGCCCCACATACACAAGCAGTTGCATTGATGCTGTCCAAACAAGCACAAAGTTCACTTATAGGATGGGGATCTCATGGGCCAAGGGTCATCAAAGCTTCCTTCAAATAAAGAACGAGGGGATTCCAATGAAAGTCATATAATGCGACTTGAACTGACTGGGAGAAAGGAACGAAAATGGTGAGAGATTTGCAGACCTATATGTCTTCAATAAACTGGTCATAGGCAGCACTATATTTCCACACAAAACCACATGGACTTCACCGGATCACACAACACAGAACCAAATCGACAACATCTGTATCGATAAAAAAATGTTCAGAAGGACTATAGAGAACGTGAGCACTAAGTGAGGAGCTGATATAGCCTCAGATCATCAATTGCTGATCGCCAAGATGAAACTTGAACTCAGGAAGCACTGGACAACGGGGTGAACAATGTCACAAATGCTTAATACGGCCTTTTCTTCAGGATACTGACAGACTCAGAGAATTCAAGATAGTCCTCACCGTTAGGTTACAGACCCTTCATGATCTACTCAATGGGGAGGGAACTACCATGGAGAACAGCCTCACTGTACCCACCCAACATTGGAGCACAACCCGCGGACCTTCCAGTCGATGTTGGCCCAACAACAATTGAAGAGATTAGCATGGCCATCAAACAAATCAAGAGCGGCAAAGTAGCAGGACCAGACAACATTCCAGCAGAGGCACTGAAAGCAGATGTAGTAGTGACTGAAAAGGCACTCCACATTCTCTTCAATAAGATTTGGTATGTGGAACAAGTAACAACAGACTGGAAAGAAGGACGCCTGATCAAGATGCCAAAGAAAGGCGATCTCAGCAACTGTGATAACTACAGGGGCATCACTCTTCTCTCAATACCAGTAAAAGTTTTTAACAGGTTATTGTTAAACAGAATGAAGGACTATGTAAGCGCCCAACTTCGAGACCAACAGGCAGAATGCCGTAAGGATAGATAGTGTACAGACCACGGATCATTGTGGAACAGTCAACTGGATGGAACTTCATTGACTATGAGAAAGCATTTGATAGCGTGGACAGAACAACACTATAGAAGCTTCTTCGACACTACGGTGTGCCTCAAAAGATAGTCAACATCATACAGAATTCCTATGTAGAATAGCCTGCAAAATCGATCATATAGGACAGGTCACAGACTCGTTCAAGGTTGCTTACTCTCACCCTTTCTCTTTCTCCTGGTGATCGCTTGGATCATGAACAAGTCAACATCTGAAGGGAAACACGGGACACAGTGGACAGCTAGGATGCAGTTGGATGATATAGATTTCGCAGATGATTTGGCCGTCCTATCGCACACGTAACAACAAATGCAGGAGAAGACGAGTGTGGCAGCAGCCTCAACAGCAGTAGGTCTCAATATACACAAGGGGAAAAGCAAGATTCTCCAATACAACACAGCATGCACTAATCCAATCACAATTGACGCAGATTTGGAAGATGTAAAAACCTTTACATATTTTGGCAGCATCATTGGCGAAATCGGTGGATCTGATGCAGATGTGAAGGCGTGGATCGGTAAAGCAAGAGAACCATATTTACAACTGAAGAACATCTGGAATTCAAAGCAACTGTCAACCAACACCAAGGTCAGGATTTTCAATACAAATGTCAAAACAGCTCTGCTGTATGGGGCGGAAACCTGGAGAACTACGAAAGCCATCATCCAGAAGATACAAGTGATTATTAACAGCTCTCTACGCAAAATACTTCGGATCCGTTGGTCAAACACTATTAGCAACAACCTACTGTGGGAAAGAACAAACCAGATTCCAGTGGAGGAAGAAATCAGGAAGAAGTGCTGGAAGTGGATAGGACACACATTTAGGAAAGCATCCAACTGCGTCACAAGACAAGCCCTCACATGAAATCCTCAAGGCCAAAGGAAAAGAGGAAGACCAAAGAACACATTACGCCGAGAAATGGAGATAGACATGAGAAAAATGAACAAGAATTGGATGGAATTAGAAAAGAAGGCACAGGACAGAGTGTGTTGGAGAATGCTGGTTGGCGGATCATGCTTCATTAGGAGTAACAGGCGCAAGTAATTAAGTAAGTAATACCAGGGTAGGTTTGAGGTGAGAACAAGCTGTTTTTGAATACACAAAGAGGTTTGAATTTCCGTATGGCTAAGGCTTCCATAAACTTTAGTAAACGCCTTTTTACGCATTTATACAACACCACAAAAGCTGAGTTAAGATCAATCATATGACCTGTATCAATAAAGGATGATGAATATTCATCCTCTACTCTTATTGGGTCATTCTGTTATATTTGTTTCTGAATTCATTTAGGTACATGTTCACATACCCTAATTTTGAGATCGCGATTACTCCTCCCTACGTATGTGTGATCACACACACATTTAAATTGGTAGACACAGTGGGTTGTGACGTAATCGTTTTCTTGTCTTTCAGGTTCCTTAATAAAGAACTTTGCTGCACGATATGCCAAATAGTATAATAGTGGAATATTGTCGTATATAATAGAATATAGTAGGATATTTTGTATTTTCTGACTCGTGTGCAAGACTGACAGGTCCTGGGTTCGAATCTCGAGAGGCGGGATCATGGATGCACACTGCTGAGGAGTCCCACATTAGGACAAAACAGTCGTCCAGTGCTTCCAGGTTTTTCACGGTGGTCTAGCTTCAATTGAATCATGATCTCAACTATTAAAATTAAAATTTTTTGTTTAAATCTGATTAATTGTCAACCATAAATTGAACAATGTATATCTTCATCTTACAACTCAATTGTCATTATGATTCTAGATCGATATATTATAGATTTTAGAAATGGTTATAAAAAAACACTAATCAAATGGTTATAAGTTGATTAACACTAATTTTAAACGGATTGTAACCTAGAGAAATAATTGTTGAGATAAAAATAAAGCAATTCAATTAATCAATTTAAAATCTATTTCTCCTCTGTTTGATCAAATCATCTATAGTTGTAGATTCTCTTTATAAGTTTAAATGAAATAATAGCAGCATAGCTTGTAAAATATAAGAAATGTGTATTGTGTTAATCCTTTCTAAAATACAGAAAATTTTAGTTCAAATCATTAACACTAACTTAGAAATCAAGATATTAATTGTTCATTACATAACAATTATTTAGCGAATAAATTCGTAATAAGTGAATAATGCGATGGCGTTTGAAGCAAACGATACTGGGTTCGAGTCCCAGAATGGACATCAATTCTGAGATGCAGGTACATCCATTTGGGTAGTTTTAAATAGGGCGAAACTCATGTCCTGAATTCCAATGCTATCCACTATCCATCTTTACATAAAATGTTTGTGAATCAAGGCAATATACACACTATGCACACATGCCAATAAGAGACTGATCAATTGCAGTCCTAAACATCAATGGGAATATTCAAACAAACAATACTAAGTGCCTTTAATTTGTAATAATGTTTAAGTTAACTTGTTAAATGGTATTTTATATGAATAAATTGAGCGATAATTCTATAACACTAC